TCCGACATTTTCCACGCAAACAACGTGTGAGGCTTGGCATAGGCGCACAAAGAATACAGTTGATTGCGAGGAAGACCCTGTGAGAGAGGAAGGATGATTATTCTTATTCTTTATAAAGACTGTATTTGTTTTTCAAGGTAGAAGCAACCACTGAAGAAACCCTTCAAGCAATTTCATCGATCCTTCAAGTCCTTGACATGAGCCAAGGTCTTCATTGAAGCCTACCTCGGCTACAACGAGACAATGAGAACCAGGGTGAGCCATGGGTAGCCATTGGTGAAGTGGAGTGTTCTTTGGACCCGCCAGGAGCGCATGCGTCACAAAGCAAGCCGGTTCTCAGGGTAAAGGATCTTTTTTTTTGTGTTGATTTGTTTTTCCAGGAGAGCCTTCCAGAAGGGTCTGTTTGGCATGGTCTGGTGATGTCTGATGGCATTTTGGATGTTTGTTTTTCATCTCGAAGATGCAAAAGCTCAAAGTCGTGGTGCTGTTAGAAAGAATGTGCGAATTGATCTATGTGCAAGGTACACAACAACGCTGGAAGCGATTGTATCCTGAAAGAGTCTGTTCAACTCAACTTTGATGAGGACATGGCAGTGAAAGACTTGGGGGCAAATCAGGCAAAACGTGACAGGTATTTCTTGTACAAGATGCAAGAGTCTTGCATCGAACTGAAGGTTACAAAAAAACACAATAAACAAGACCAGTTTCTTGCTGAAATTTTTCTGTGAAGTGTTGACGATACAGCTTTGAGCCATTGAAAAGTGCTGAGGGGAAAACTCATTGTTTGGCCACCTCAGTCTGCACGAAGCGTGGCACTGGCTCAAGCCCTACATTCGGGCTTCAACTTGGTCAGGCCATATGTGGAAAGTTGCACAACACTTTGGTTATTCATGATTGATTGACTTTTGTCTTTTACATTCTTTTACCCTTTACCCTATTTTCGAGGCTTGCGACAGAAATCCCGCTTTGATTTTTTTTGGTGAAGGGAAGTGGAGTGCCTCCTTGCACTTGTCACTAGACACTGCATGAATGCTTTGCATGCTCAAGAAGCTGATTCTGCCAAATTATGCCAGGACATGCCAAAACCATCATATACTATCATATACTACTCTCTCCCTCTCTCTACTCACTACTCTATAATATAGTATAGTTCTATATACAGACATATGTCACATATGTCACATACTGGTTTGTTCCTATACTACAGTATGTTTCAATGCCTCAATGGCCACAGTAGCTGATCCCGTGCCCCAGCCAAGTCGGGTCAGAGCCCTGGTCTCCAGCTTCTGCCTCTGCAAAGACCTCGAGAAAAGTTAGCAAACAGCTTCAGACGAGTATGACGGTGCCCCTGTATGTGACTGCGATGGACAACTTCAGGACTAGTGGCTGTGTAAGTAACATGCAGGTCTCCATGTTGTGTGTCCATCCAAGCAGTTCCACAAAGTCCTTTCCTTGTTCATGAAATCAACATGTGCTGCGAATCCATGGTATGATGCAGAATCTTCGGACTGTACTTCTGGATTGTGCGGGTTTCAGGGAACGAAACAAGCGAAAGGATCAAGCACGCCTCTCCCTCTTTGGTACCAGTGACTGTTCAGGTGCAGCGCAGTAGTGCGCAGCATTTCAGACAGAGCTTTGGTGGATGGTCAGGAGCTGCAGGGACACTGCACCATCCAGGTGGATGTTTCCAGTAGTCCTTAGATCTTGACCGGTACAGCTTAAGCCAAAGTCTGTGATCCAAAAACCAGGCATTTGCCGCTTATATGCCGCTTATGTTGGTTCAAAGAAGCTTATCCTGCCCATGGGCGTCCCCAAAGCCTGCAATGGTAGCGGCAGACGGAATAGTGGGAAGCCCGAACGTGGCTGGCCAGATTGCGGAGCTTGTGCCGGCCTGAGTTGATCTGAGTTGTTGGATTAATTTATCAAGCCAAGTGAATTTAAGTGAATTGTGAAAGTGCAACCATTATATATATATATACCATTATATACCATTATGCCATTAGGCCATTAGATACATTTTCTGTACATTGATAGTTCCAAACCATATCCAGGCCCTGCCAGGGTTGGTGCCAAATCTGAAATCATAGCAGAACCCTCCGGGATCATGTAATAGATGAGATTTAGCCCTCCCATTACTCATGTTCGCTGGGTGGCCCTGACAAATGTGTATTTGCCTCGGTGTGTTTGGATCATTGAGCATTTATTTCAGCCAAGTCAATCTCATGTCCAAGATCAGCCACATTGGGCTTCAACAAAGCTGGTCGATGTAGTGCCAAGTTTCTGTAGCAACCCAACGCAAACTCGTTTCCCAAGATTTTCGAAGCATATCGACCCAGGTCCAAAAGCTGCAAAGCAGCCGTGCGCGTGACCGCTGGAATGCTGCTGACGGTTTGGGTCGCTTGGGCCGTGGCACCAACGGAGTTTCTGTGGCGGTCCCCGCCTTGCTGCATTGTGCGGAGGATGAGGACGACGATGTGCGCTGTGCTGCAGCCAGAGCACTGGGACACATCGGTACGGAGACCTGTGCGCCGGAGCTGCTGAGGCTCTTGGCAGATGAAGATGGAGGCGTCCGGTGGGGAGCTGCTGAAGCCTTGGGAAACCTGGGTGCATCGGCATCCTGCGGGCTCGTGCAGTTGAAAGAAGCCTTGGAAGATGAGGAGGAAGATGTGAGAGGAGCTTCAGCTCAAAGTCTCGGCAAACTGGTGAAACTTGGTGCTGTAGCTGCAGCAGATGTGGTGCCATCCTTCATTGAATGTCTTGCAGATGACGAATGGAGCGTGAGGCGCTCAGTGGCGGAAGCTCTGGGGAGATGCGGGGCTGCAGCGGCCGATGCCGTGGCCACGCTACGGCGAGTTGCGGAACGAGATTCGAACCCATCGGTCAGAAAAGCAGCCGAGCATGCTTTGAAAAGCATCTCAGGCCCCAGCCAAGCTTGACAAGCTTGAGTTTTGAAAGCGCATGGCTGTCCAATCTATATACTCCGTAAAATGTAAAATGTTCAGCATAATAATTTGCTGATAGGAATAGTGTACTCCTGACTGTTGCTGGCAGAAGTCTGAGCAACATGTGTAGGCCCCAAATCCTTTAATTTCTGGGTCTCATGCTTGGCGAGAGCAGACAAAAGATGTGCCCGCCAAAGGTTGAACAATTTTGCCAGACATTTGTGTCAGCAATGTCTTGTTATGGTTTCTGTTTGTTGAAATGCTCTCTAAGCTGCCTCTAAGCTGCCTCTAGGCTGCCTCTAAGCTGCCCCAACTGCAAACCAGCTGTGATCGGGAGGCACAGGTCTTCGACCAAGGCTGACGCGCTCCTGGTGAGTTGGTGGGGCTCCAATCGTGGTACTTGTTGCGAGTAAGATATGCATAAGGTAATGAGGCCCCGAAGGCCCTCAATGCAAAGCCGGTCCCTTCTGATTTACATTTTGATCATTTTGTTACTTTTCTAAATTTCTTTGGTGCACTGGGGATCATTTCTTGCAAACTGATTAAGATAGTGATCCAAATCCAGTATTGTGTGGAGATTGAAGCAATTCCACTTTTCTGCTGGAGATCAACGATGAGAAGTTCATTCCAGTGACCAAGCAATTTGCCGAGACTTTGACCCCCAAAAAATGATGTTCAAGAAAGGTGAAGAACCAGTGCCCAGAAGGGGACCTTCATTGGAAAGTGTATTGCATGAAGATCTTGAGTGCTGACAGACAAACTGAAGCCAGGCCAAGCTTCATGCCTGACCCAGCTGAGCTTCAAGTGATTGTGTTTGGGTCAGTGCAAAGCGCCTGAATTCGGGTGCTGGCAAAGAAGCATTTTGATCTTTGGAAAGAGATTGACCCAGAGAGGATCCAGGTTGCTTCCCTGGCAATACCTGGAGCCTCAGAAAGCCTCCGGCTGCTTGAATTGCGAGTTTCACCTTGCATGTCCGTAGCTCTAAAGACAGTTTTCAAACAAGTTTTACGTTGCAAGTTGTCCGGTATCCTCTTGCTTGCAATGGTTGACCAAAGGAGTAGACCCGCCTCAGTTTGACACACTGACACACACACACACACACCATTATTTGATTGGGCTACTTGGGCCTAATGTGGAGGATCTGATGTAGAATCCACGGGTTTTTAAGAGTTTTGAAAGAGCTGCTCTCAAATAGTCTAAGCACCGCCAGTTTGAGTAGAATCTGCTCGGTGGGCTGATTACAGCAACGCACCCGAAAATCCCAAGTTCGGAGCCTTTGCACCGGCCCATTGCAGGATGACGAGGAGGAGAAGCTCTTCCTCTTTGTGCAGAACCAGAAGGTGCAGATCAAGTAATTACAAGCTGACCAGACATCCCCTTGCGATTCCCTTGGGTATTTTGCGGGATTTAGAAGAATGCTTTGTCTTTTGTGCCAGTGAGCTCAAATATGACGGGTGCCACAATCACTTTTAACACGCCATTTTTGGTCTTGTTTTGTTCACGCACATTGAACATTGGCCGGCTGGGTTGAAGAGGATTGTAACTTTGGAATCATGTAGTTTAACATAGTTTAACAATGTTTAACATAGTTTAACCAGTTTAAGTATGTTTAACTTAGTTTGATTGTTGCATCGAGCAGAAGATGCTGAAGGTTTCATAATGTTTGAAATTTAATTAAAGGTGTTTAATGGTTCTGATAGATTCTGAATCGATTCTGATATGCGATGCAGAGCCAGAAACAGGTGATGGGTGCACAGGAACTGGCTGGTGACCTCAGGGGGCTATGCCGGTGCCGGACACTGCGGACACTGCGAACAGAGCAGATGATTCCAGATGAAGAATTATGATCAATTATGAACAATCTAACAATATCTAACAATGATCATGCCGATGGAACATGAGTTTCCTTATGTTTCCTGAGTTTTCGAAAAGATGTCCAGCAGTTCCTCTTAGTCATATTGAACGCGGCTTTTTCGCTTGAAGTTTCCACGCGGAGTTCCAGCAGCTCAGCAGCCAAGGGTCGAGTTGAGATTGGCTCCGACAAAATGAAACAGCTTTTGAAGGAGACCATGCGGTGAGTTTGGGCCGAAAGTTGCTTTCGCTGTTACGTCCTACTACGATACAAGCTGTAGTTGTGAATTACTTAGTAGATCTTAGTAGACTTGTGAATTGTGAAACTTGTGGCACCATGTTGCACCTGGAGGATGGGCAGCGGAGAGGTGGAAATATCCAGTGGACCGATGCCTCCTTTACAACCAGCTTTCAGTCACGTGGCAGAATTATAAAAAGTATTGAACAATTACTTACTTAGACTTACTTGTATGAATTCAACCAGCAACATGCAAGTACTCTGGATGCACCATGGGACAATCCTACCACCTTTAGAATCCTGAGATACGGAGCATTGTTTGCTGAATCCTTCTGCACAAAAGGCCTGGAACGGTAGGGTTCAGCTCTACCTTCCCTTTGCAAGATGGAACTACAGGACACTGCACATTCTTCCGAGGCTTATTCCTCGTGGACAGATTTGGGTTACAGCCGTCTGAGCCTTAAGATCGCTGGTTAGGTGTCCTGCCTGGCATTTGGGCCCTGAGATGTTTGGCAAGTCATCAGAGTCATCCATGATAAGTCTGGAGAGCTTTTCACCGTCCGGCAGCGCCTGCGTGAGAGTTTTATGTTGCCACACATGCCATTGAGCACATGATGCAGCCCAATGCAGCCTGATCGTACTTTGTGATCCCTTTCGACGCACGATCATCCGTGATCCGGTCGGCGGATTGAGGTGCCTGTGGAAGAGGAGTATCATGGTTACTCCGTGCACTCCTCAGAGTGATTAATGACATTTAATGAAGATTCATTCGTGGCCATCCCGCCATCCTGCGCTACGATTCGAACTGGGCAGAAGGCGAAGAGTTCAAAGACCATTATAGGACAATATAGGACATAAATGTGACATAAATAACATATGAATGAACATGAAGCGCAACGCTGAGATATGATATGGTCATAACATGTTATAGCTGGTACATGTCATAAGATCTATTTATCAAGGTGCTAAAGCCAAACAGCCATTTGAACCCATTTGCCAGAATTGACTTCATTGACTTCATTCTATGTTCACTATAAATTATAATAACTTATATTATATATATACACCGTCGCATACCTCTTCATCCTAACTCAACTTATACCATGAGTTGGGATAAATCCGAGGTTTGACTGACACTATCCTTCAATGTGTATGAAGTGGCTGCGACATTTCAAGCAGTTTCCCACACTGACCTCGTTCACCTTCATTCACCATCTTCCCAATCCTACCGCTTGTGGCAGACTCTAGGAGCTGGCCACTTGCTGAGCTCATTCTCTGCTGTGCCAGGCGCTGCCTGTGTTGCTGTGCCGATGGATGTCAAATACCGTAGAAAGCCAATAGCATCCAGTAGCTACTATATACCCGGCCTCAAACATGCCATGAACATTCTGCAATGGTGACAATTGCATACAATTCAATTGCCTCTCTAGTTATATCATGTTATATCAGTAATCTTGGTGTAATGAAGTGCAATGCTACAATGCTGATACACAGCTTCAGCTGGGAGTAAAACAAGTGCTGTACCATGCCGTACGCCCAGCGCCAAAGTGCAGGCTCCTGAGGTTGTCTCACCTGGATGTGTCACCTAATTAATCTGGGAATCACCAGACATGCAGTTGCAAAATTATGCAAAATTGGGAACATTGAAAAAACATTGAAAGAACGTTGACGGATTTTCCATTGCCAGCATGTTCTAGAGCCAAGACGAGCCAAGAGTGTTGCTTAACAGAAAGAGAGCTCCACTGACTCCACCGCTCGGTGGTTCTGTACGTTAGCAGATGACCTCGCGCCAGAAGGAGGCAGAAAAAGTGACACGACATGCCAATTGGGCCAATTGTATCCAGCAGATGGCTGCAGTGATGCTGAAGCATGATCGAATTTTGTCAAAGATCAGAGAACTGTGGAGCTTTATTGTAGTTTTTTTCCTAGTCCTTCTCTGAAAGGACCCGAGAGTGGAAACTCTCCAGGTTCGTTTGCATCATATCCATTTAGAACTGTCTTGCAGATGGATCGTGGCAAGTGTTTAGTGTTGGAGCATGCCCATGCCATAATTTGTGCCTGGAGTTCCATAGCCCAACGGTTGCAAATCAAGTGCAATGTTGATGGAATCCTCATGGTCGTATTGTCCTTGTTTCCCCTGTGAGATCTCGACATGGCAATGAGTTGAAGTCGGAGAAGGATGAGATGTCAGTAGAGACTGCTTGCAAGATTTTGCATTTGCGGATGCAAAACCATGAGCAGAGCAAAAAGATATCCATCGTCTGACTCCTGTATGCTTAGTTGTGAATAGATGTGAATAGATTGTTTGCTTGTTCGGATCTTTAGTTTTGAGTTTGAACAGTGTTTGCACCGAAGCTCGTGTTGCTTTCGCTGCTGGCACTCTGGCCCTCTCGGTGCAGCCATTTCTGGTCGTGGTGTACTTAAGCGTCAGAATGTGCGAGATCTGGATTTGATATGATTTGGTGGCATTTTGCAAGTCGTGGGAGTGATGAGATGTCCGAAGACTGCTGGTGAGAAGTTGAAAGCACCATGAGCGGAGCTACAAGATATCCATCGTCTGACTCATATTCGGACACCGAAGACGGAAGACATGATAATGTGGACATGGCTTGCAGATTGCATATACATGATTATACATGGGAGGGCTAATTATTTTAGGATTTTTTTTTTGATCAGGTTTAGGAATTATTTTTGGATTCCTGCTTCTCTGCTTTTCCTGCTTTTCCTGCTTCTCTGCTTTCCTGCTTTTCCTGCTTTTCCTGCTTCTCTGCTTTTCTGCTTTTTTGCTTTTCTGCTTCTCCTGCTTCTCGCCTTTTCTGCTTTTTTGCTTTTCTGCTTCTCCTGCTTCTCTGCTTCTCTGCTTTTCTGCTTTTTTGCTTTTCTGTTTTTCCTGTTTCTTTGCTTCTCTGCTTTTCCTGCTTTTCCTGCTTCTCTGCTTTTCTGCTTTTCCTGCTTCTTTGCCTTTCTGCTGCTTTGCTTTTGTGCGTTTCCTGTTTCTTTGCTTCTCTGCTTTTTTGCTTCTCTGCTTTTTTTTGCTTTGCCTGCTTTAAATACTTGATTTTCATGTAAGATGCATTTTGCACAGTATTTACATCCCTGAGTATCACATGACCAACCTTCTCTTGAAAACTAGCAAATGTGAGAAGAGGTGCTTGCATTCTGCTTTGGGGGGAGGCGCTGCGCCCTCCCCCCAATCCCCCCCTCCCGTTTTTTTTTTAATTTAAACTTAAACCCAAGTTACACTAGTTGGTTTTTGCGAACTAACCTTCTCTGGAAAGCTGACAGGATTACATGTGATAGATAGATAGATAGATAGATAGATAGATAGATAGATAGATAGAGAGATAGATAGATAGATAGATAGATAGATAGATAGAGAGATAGATAGATAGATAGATCGATAGATAGATAGATAGCCAGCTAGATAGATAGATAGCTAGAGAGATAGTTAGCTAGATACCTCGATAGATAGATGGCTAGATAGATAGCTAGATAGATAGCTAGATAGATAGCTAGATAGATAGATAGCTTGGTAGATAGATAGCTAGATAGATAGATAGCCAGCTAGATAGATAGATAGCTAGAATGATAGATAGCTAGATACCTCGATAGATAGATGGCTAGATAGATAGCTAGATAGATAGCTAGATAGATAGATAGATAGCTAGCTAGATAGATAAAGAGGTAGCTAGATAGATAGCTAGATAGATAGATAGATAGCTAGATATATAGCTCGATAGCTAGATAGTTGGATAGACAGCTGGATGGCTAGATAGATAGATAGCTAGATAGATAGAAAGCTAGATAGCTAGATAGATAGATAGTTAGCTAGATAGCTCGATAGCTAGATAGCTGGATAGACAGCTGGATGGCTAGATAGATAGATAGATAGATAGCTAGATAGATAGAAAGCTAGATAGCTAGATAGCTAGATAGTTAGCTAGATAGCTAGATAGGTAGAAAGATAGCTAGCAAGATAGCTAGATAGGTAGATAGATAGCTAGATAGATAGATAGCTTGCTAGATAGATAGCTAGCTTGCTAGATAGATAGCTAGCTAGATAGCTAGCTAGCTGGATAGATAGCTAGCGCCCTCCCTCAATCCCCCCCACCCGCTTTTTATCTAATCCCAAGCTTCCGCGTCTGTAAATATTTGGGTGAACATGCTCACATGTAGAACATCCCATGCAAAATGGAAGGTGAACATGCCAAAATGTGGCAATTCCATACAAAATGGAAGGTGAACATGCCCACATGTAGGAAATCCCATGCAAAATGGAAGGTGAACATGCCAAAATGTGGCAAATACCATACAAAATGGAAGGTGAACATGCCCACACGTAGTAAATCCCATGCAAAATGGAAGGTGAACATGCCCAAATGTGGCAAATACCATGCAAAATGACAAATTCAAGTTCCAAACCGTTGCAAACACTAGGCAAATGGTACCAGCCAAAAAATCCAAAAAAAATTCCCAAACCTGCTCAAAAAAAAAATCCTAAAACTATTTCACACCCTTATACATGGGTAAGTTTGTGCTGCTAAACTTGTGCAAGCTCGCGTGGCTTCCTTTCCGTGTTGTTTCTGTCTTGCTGTAGAAGTAAATTTGGTACGCAGTATGAGAAGGATGCGACTTCCCAAACAGCTTGTGAAACTCTGCATTGCGGAATATGAGCAGAGCTACAAGATATCCATCGTCTGACTCCTATTGCTAGTTGTCCGCAGACTATGTCATCTATGTCTTGTTGGCAGCTCTCTTGGTTCCTTTATGTTCTCTTATCATCTCTTGTCCTGCTTTTCCACGCTTTGCCTATTTTGTCTTTATGGTGTAAGTGTGAGCACGTCCACATAGGTCCACTTTGCTGTGGGATGTGTGAGATAAATTGCATCTCTGTCTTCCAATGGATGGTCAGGTCATGTGACTGGAGAAAGTCACACATCGAGGTTATCACTTACTTATCACTGAATATCGTTGATATCACTGCGCAACTGAAGCCGTTTTTGGTCTAAGTGGTGGGAACCCATAGCCCCAGTGGCCCAGGAGCCCAAAAGGGCGTCCCGTTGGGCTGAAATCTCAGGCTGGGCGATCTCGGGTGGCTCCAGTTTCACATCTAATCACGTCGTTGGTTCCGTGAGTGAGAGCATATCAGGGCAATAGATTTAGGCAAGAACTAAGGCTGGTCCAAAATATTTGAAATTCTTCAGAGGTGGCAAACAATACCGAGCGGTTTTCGCATCTTGAAGACCCCTATCAGGTGCTTTGGTGCGATCAACCGCTTCTATCTCGTACTTAAAAGGGTTGAATACATCTTAAATGTGCCCATGACACAAAAAAGGAAAAGCAGGGCACAAGAAAGTGCCTTGCTTCAAGCGCCCTTCGGCCTCTTAGTCTTTGCACCTTTTGCACCTTGTTGAACACTGAAAGCACATGAAAGCACATGAAAGCACCAATTGAATG